GATGACGATTACGTGAAACATGTTGACGTACACAAACCGAAGAAAGTCACCAATGCGCGATCTCAGTCCCCTGGCATTCCACTGCAGTATTGCTGCTTTACGAACCTCATCCCTGAAAGACAGTGGTCGGTTAGCCATGGTCCACTCTAGGGCTGCTAGCACTGGACTAAGCGCGTCCAGTACTTGAAGGGCACTTTTGGCTGACGGTGCATTCATGTCGCTTAACAACATGCGAATGGTGTCCACTAATGATCTTAGCATCACCATTACGCGATGATCTGGCTTCCCGGCCGTTGCAGCATTTTGTGCTTGTTCTTGAGGTGGCTTCTGTTAAGGCTCAACAGGTCGTGTAGGCGGCTTCTGTTGAGGCTCAACAGATCGTCTAGGCTGAAGGGGTGGTCATTCCTTTGGAAAGAGAGATCTTCCAGCATCTTCTCTTTCAGCGCAGATGTTTGCCGTGCTAGGAGCTGCGCCTGTCGATTTCACTTGAGTTCCTGACTTTCTCGTCAGATTTCGCACTGTCCTTCGTGAGGACCTTCGACGATGACGGCGCCTTCGCCTCACTTTTTGCGCAGCTTCTCTGTGAGTCGAGTTGTCTCACACCATTTGCCTCAGAATATAAATCTCTTTCTCAAGCTGAGGAGAGTCTTTGGAGGAAGCACTGTGAGCTCCTTGGCAGTTGGGGCATTTCAACGTAGTTGCAGTACAGTCGTCTTCTAAGTGGTGTTCAGCGCATCGGGGGCACACTGCGGAATTTCTGCAAACGCCCTTCACGTGGCCAATCTTCTGGCACTTGAAACACTGCATAGGCTTCGGAATAAATGGGCGAACCTGGTGACGGAAATAGCCAACCTTCACGTAAGAGGGAAGACAGTCACCCTTGAATGTTATTCGCACACATCGAGAGTTGCCTAGGCGACCAGCATGCAAAATGACGTTGTTTTCACTCACTGTTTTTATCAGTACAGGAAGATCTTCATTGGCGATTGCAGTGTCTATGTCATAGATAACTCTTGTTACGGTGTCACCATTCGCTGGTATGATGGATTGGACTTTGATGTTTCCCAGCTCCGACACATGCTGTAGCGTGTTCAGTGCAGTCGGGTTCCTCACGTCGATTGCCAAGATATTCTTCCTCGTGTTTATCCCGATGTCCTTAATCTCGTTAGGCACAATGTTTTCAAGGTACAAGGACAGTGCTTGCCTGTTGAGGAAGCGTAGATCGGCAGTAGTAGTCTGCGGCACAAACAGAATGGAGTGAGGCCATCACTGAGGCGCTGTCCTCACAGTGGTTGTACTTGATGCCGATGATGCGTTCACGATTCTTCGTTTGGCCTTGCGGTAGAGCACAGGTTCGAAGCCGTCTTCCGAGGACTCGTAGTATGATGCAGAGTACAGCTCGGTGTCCTCGCTCTCACTAGATGGATTACCACGCTTTCTTGAAGCAATGTCCATGGATGAACTGGTACTGGGTGGGATCTCCGGGGATTGTACATCCATGACCACGATGTAGGGGGCTGGAGACCCCGCTGCTGCGCTGTGGAACGCAGAAAATACAGCACAGACCGCAACATGTGTTCCACAAGAGAATCACTTCGTCTTCCTCTCCCGAATCGCTTTCGAGATTTTCACATTACAAACCATCAAAACTGTGCATTGAGGTAACACTGATCATTAAGCATTTGCGTCTGGTAGCTGCGTAAATTACACAAAAGTATTGCGATCTAGAAAAGAAGATATCCACAATGATCACCCCCTGTACTAGATGCTTATGGCACTAGCCTTGAGAGAGCTATGAGCGGTCCTCACTCACTGCTCGTACATAGATTTTGTCAATGTCTTTGTCATTCAGCAATTTCAACAAATTTTCCGGGTTTTAAAATATAGGTATATCTTTTCTGAGCTTAAGTCACAGTCGGACAAATTTTCATAAGTCGCTCCTACAGCGTCGCATGCTCGACGGGCACCCTGCCTGCGCAGTGTCGGCTCAAAAATGAAGCTGACACGCATCGCTGAGGGACAGACTGCATTTGCCCTCTTTATCGGCTTTCGGTATAAGTACCTGTGACTCATTAAACCCGTGTTTTTTGCTCTTGACATTAGGAGATCTAAGACTACGACGCATGGTGTGGGAAGTGGGGTGTGAACCCTCGCGAACTTAATAGGTTGGCAAATATAGACTAGAATTGTCATCGCTTGCAGGCGGAAGCATTCTTTAGTAAAGGTTGGAGGGGGGGGGGGGGGGGCTGACCACGTGAAACAGATGAGCACAGTAATGTGTGGTTTGTCCTTATCGGATGCTGGCTGCAGCGGCCACATGTGTCAGCTCCCCGTCAGTTATGACTTAAAACCGCAGCCCCTTGCTTGGGCCGCTTCTTCTGATGATAGCTGGGGTCAGTATTATATCTGCTGTGTCTAAACGTAGATGCGTCGTGAGAAACGGTATGGTCAATATTGAACGTACAGTACGCTTTCGCTTGCCGCGCTGATGATGCTGCTGGTGAAGCGTTTTCATAAAACTGGAGACGACGAAATAACTAGTTATGTTCCGTGATCTTCGTGCCGACAATTTTATCGGCTGCTCCATGACGTGTTCTTGAAACGTGAAGGCCTTCAGTATTATTTTCCCTGATGCTTGAAGGTCAACCTTCTACAGCCTCGATCGGCCCGCTGAAGTGGTCCAGTGGTGATGGCAATCCACTGCTATCCCGAAGGAAGCGAGATCGAGCCCCGGCTGCGGCGTCTGCATTTTAGATGGTGGCGAAAATGTTTGAGGCTCATGTACTTATATTTAGGTGCACAATATAAACCGCAAGGCGTAGAAAGTTCCAGAGCCCTCAACTACAATGTCTCCATATTGCTATTGTAGTTTCATACCAGATATTATTAGTATACCAGATTATATTACCACACAAAATACTATTATAGTTATTACTGCGTTATCAATCTGACCAACATTAGGAGCGACGAATTTACCAAGCTGGCGAGTAGTTATGCTTTTAGGTAAATCTTACGCCATATTTCACCTCACACGTCAAAAAATGTGGCAGAAGAAATGAATTGCGGATTATAGTCAGTGCAACCTACATATAAACTAATCTTGTCCTGTCATATTATGCTCAAAAATAACATTATAAGACTGATCAGCACCAAGCACAAACGTGGTCATGTTCCGTCACGCTATACACACCTCCTTCATAAATCCTAGACCAATTGTTTTTCACGCATGGCTCCTTAAGATACATGTATTTGGAAGGCAGGTTAACCAAGCTTGTTATGTCCATTTCCTATCATTACTGCCAATTCCTCTCAAACAAAGGAAAGGGCTACTGAATTTGCATCACATTCCAAGACGGGAAAGATTTACAGTATTTCGCTGTAAATAGGTTCATTGTTGACTTCGGCTGAGAATTTATTAGGCGAAAGGCTGCAGTTTCTGCTGCCACTGTTGCCTCCAATTCAAACTTAGTACTATTGTGTATACTAAAAGATGCAAGAAACAAATTCATCGCATCCTCGGTTGTTCGTTATTATTCAGGAAACGCTTCAAAGAAGCATTGTATCCCGTGCTTCGGTGCTGGAGAAGCGAAAGCCCCAACCATACTCTTCCCAACTTGGTGCAGGTGGAGAAACAATCTTGCGCGAGAAAAAGGACGCGCTCAACCAATTCAGCCGCCTTCATTTTTGCTTGCTCATTGTTTCGTTATAACGGTGTTTCGATAAAATCAACTTCTTCTGAGAACGTTTAACCGGTACCATTGTTCTCGTTTAGCGATAAAATTTTAACGAACAAATATTTTGAAGTGTGGGTGTCGCAAAACTTTTCGATGTAACTGAAATCAACCGCATTGTGCCTAAACTTCTATTGCATTTGCGCACGCACTGGAACGACACTCAAGTTTATTGCGGGTGTGACATGAATCCAGGATAAAGTAGAAGTGGAAGTAAAGTAGAAGTAGAAGTAGAAATACCTGGGTGTGTTCTTTTCTTCTGACTGTTCATAGAATGTACATATTGATTATGTTGTCGCGAAAGCTGCGAGGGTGTTAAAATTTAATCAGCGTAGTTTACGATGTTCGCATCAGCGACTTAAAGAATTTGCGTATTTGACGCGTGTACGACCAGTCTTAGAGTATGCCTGTGCTGTGAGGGATCCAGCGCAGGTATATCTTAGTGATAAGATAGAAAAAATACAGAACAGGGCGGCAAGGTTCGTCCTGGGAAGGTATCAATGGCGGGAAAGCTCGACTGCCATGAAACAAGAATTGAATTGGGAGCTGCTTTCATCGCGTAGAAGAAAATTGTGATTAAAACTTTTATATCTAATATTTAATTTTAAAACTGGAATCAATAAAGATATGTATTTACAGACGCCATATTATTTGTCAAATCGAATTGATCATCCTTTTAAACTGAGGGAATACCGTTCCAAGACTGGAATTTCCGCAAATTCTTTTTTTGTCAGAACAATACATGAGTGGAATGGGCTCACAAGTGTACAAGTGTCTGCTGTAAATGAAAATTTGTTTTTTTCGAATCTGTAACCCCCCTGCTATAACGCCTTCAGGCGCTGCAGGTATACTTCAAATAAAGAATAAAGAATAAAGTGGATCTTTTTTAAATGTTAATTTGCTTGATATGTGTGGTTTAACGTCCCAAAACCACTATATGATTATGAGAGACGCCGTAGTGGAGGGCTCCGGAAATTTAGACCACCTGGGGTTCTTTAACGTGCACCCAAATCTGAGCACACGGGCCTACAACATTTCCGCCTCCATCGGAAATGCAGCCGCCGCAGCCGGGATTCGAACCCGCGCCCTGCGGGTCAGCAGCCGAGTACCTTAGCCACTAGACCACCGCGGCGGGGCTAAATGTTAATTTGTTGTTGCTGATTTTTTGCAAGACACATAGAGGCACGAGCATCGTAGGGGCAACAGATGCATTATTATGGCGACGGTGTGTTCACTTGTGACTTAACATGATTTTACTCTGTCACGCAGCTCACCGATGCCGTCTCGCTGCTGTTCCTCAGCTTGTTCTTCGCCTTCATCTTCTACATTGTGTGTGAATGCCCAATCACCAATCTTGATAAGGTGGCGGTGGACGCCATATTGAAAAGAAGAAGGCGAGATGCGATGAACGATGCCCCTTCAGCGAACATCTACCCCAACAACATTGAGCTAGGTGGCTGCGGTACACAGGGTCTTGCGAAAAACTTCAAATGATTACATCAATGTGCATTATGCTCGAGATATTTTACATAATTTTTGTTTCCTATACTTTCTATGTGTAGTGCTTTCTATGAATTGTTTAAGCATCAGAATTCGTATTGCCCCCTTTCACCAAGAAGTTGTATACAAACGGCACGTTGGGGGTGTGAAGGAGGTGATCATTTGCCTCTCCATAACTGATGCCTGCAATTGTGGCGCTTTTCGCAAACAATAACGCATAGGTGGATTCAATGTGCAGGAAAGATTTCTATTTATAGGTAACCAACTCAAACACTGTGTGCTTGTGTTTTAGTTGTTGTATTTGTTTGCACTTACACTGAACGCCCAATTTCTCAGTTTTGCATGATTTTTTTATTTAACGTTGGTCAAGGTTTCTTACCCTCTCCTAATGTCTTGTTTTCACGTGTTTTGTAATTTCGGAACTCATTTTATTGCCGTAATTTTTCACACTTTCTTATTGCCGTAATTTTTCACACTTTCTTACTGCTGAATGAAATAAATTAAAAAAAAACGCTGAAATGACCAAGCCTCTTTTTGATGACGCATTCATTGGCTTTCAATATGTGTCAGGGGACCGCAGAGGCTTTTGCGTTTGTAGGCGTTTTATTTGGTGCGTAGTGACACCATGGACCCGAGCTAACGGGGGAGCAGGGGGTTGATTCCCTCTGATGCCTAGCCTTGCGTAGCTGAGCCATGTCCGGGCAAAAGGGGATCTTCAGGGTTGAGCTGATGCTGGGTAATTGGCACTTTAAGGCCCCCTGGCGGAGGCCAAACACCACTTTTGCCTCAGCTTCACATAGACGTACCCGGCACACCTGGGCTGACCCAGCCAGGGGAAATCAGCAGTCGCCTTTTCCCACATTTCCCTCCCTACGTCTTCGCCTTCCTCTCACTTTTTTCTGTCCTGCCATTTTCTATCTTTCGCTTACTTCTACTTTTTTCTAGGGACGAGGGTTATCTTCTTATATTTGGTTATAGTGGCGACGCATGGGTGGCGATTTGTTCTACCTTGCAGCATCCCCTTGTTGGGCTTGGTCGTGGGTGGGCAACATCGCCACCGAGTATTATGTTTCCCGTGTGGCATACTATCTCCCCACAATACCTGATTGCCACCCAAAAAAGTGGGTCACCAAAAAAACTTTCGCACTGCAGAAACTTGAACAGTCCTTTCAGAAGTATCATGTCATGCCAAGTCAAAAAGAAAACAAAACAGTTCATTCAATTTTGCCTCTGCTGGTCTCCAAAACAGTTGCAGAAACCAGCCCAGGCTACAAGGTAACCAAGTTGGGAAGCGGCGACCTCCTCCTGGAGGAACGCGACAAGCTCCAGTATAGCAACTTATTTAAAATCGTAGCATTCGAGGATGTGCCAGTTTCAGTAGGCTCACACAGGTCGCTGCCTACAGTGCGTGGTGGGGTCTCTTATGATGACCTCTTCCAACTATCTGAAAGAGAATTGTTAGAAGGCTTGCAAGACCATAACGTAGTCAAGGTACATAGAATAATTATACGACGAGACAATAAGAAAATATCCACTAAGCACATAGTTATAACCTTCCGTACCAGCAACGTAACCGACTCAATTGCAACAGGCTACCGTAAGCTCTGTGTCAGGCCCTATGTACCAAATCTCCGTCGATCTTTCAAATGCCAGCGCTATGCAGATGGATCACAAAGCTGCAGAAGGCGCGCCATCTGTGACCAATGTTGAATTATTAGCCTGTGCTGCTCCACCTCCTGCCAAACAGATTCGGCAAACTTCAGAGTCTGGTGGACCCGAGATCACTGCACTCGCAGTTAAGTCTGAAACTTCAGTGAACGTGCCTGCTCTCCAGGTGACATCAGCCTCCTCGCAGGAGCTGATATACAAGTCCCACTCTTCCTGCGCCTCAGACGCCGTAAAATAGGCACAACTCTTTGGAGCGCGCTCAAAAAGGAAAAAGAAGTGCCAAATTACGGAGCCCCCAAAACGCCCTGCCTCCTAAGGCGACACTTTTTGTACACAGCACCACACACCTTTAAAATCATTCATATAATACAGTGGAACATCAGAGGACTGCTGAGAAACCTCGACAATGTTGCAGAAACTTTAGACAAACACACACCAATAGTTCTTTGTGTGCAAGAAACACATTTGAAATTGAAACACACAAACTTCCTACGCAACTACCTTATTTTTCGAAAGGATTGAGATGACGCGGTCGCATGATCCGGTGTTGTTGTCATAATAGTTATTCAAGGAACAGCCTGTACACATTTACCCTTTCAGGCATTCCTGGAGACAGTAGCTGCCCGAGCTGCCATTTTCGACAAACTGCTAATGATTTGCAGTATTTACATACCTGCATATCAATGACTGAACAAACATTAATTTCAGTTATATATAATAATTAATGAACTTCCATAACTGTATCTCGTCCTAGAGGGCTTCAATGCGCGTAGTAGTCTATGGGGTGACTCTCACTGCGATGCGCGAGGCCGCCCTATTGAACAGTTCGTTTTCCTTTCTTGTGCATGTCTTCTCAATTGAAAAGAGCGAGCATACAATAGCCTGGCTGTTCGAAAGACTTCAGCACTGTCTCTCCATCGCTCCTAGCTATACTCGCATGAAAAGTTTATAACTAATGCTTACGAAAGTGACGATTTTTTAAATTTTGAGTAGACTAATATCAGCTGAGTGTCTTGCACCCGTTCCAAAATGGCTCTTAGAAAAAGCCGATTTGGACTATTTTTATAAGAATGCTAGCTTAAGTTGGACTGACATACGCGTTTCTAGCATAGACGCATCTGTAGAATAGCTTACTAATTTTCTCATTGGAGCTGCAGATAAGTAGATTCCGCAAACTTCTGGACTACCCAAAAAACGACGCGTCTTCTGGTGGAACAGTGAGTGTCTTAATGCGCGCAAACAACAACAAAAAAGAATAGAGGCATCTTCGAGACTCACCAACCACTGAAAAGCTTATCAATTTTAAAAATATCAAGTCCAAAGGCAGTAAAACGCGTCGACAGGCCGGAAGAGAAAGCTGGCAGAAGTTTCTATCCGGCATGAACTCATATACACATAAGGCAAGAGTCTGGAGCATGGTCAGTAGTAGGACTAGAAGCACTTTCACTTTATGAAGTAAACACACAAGGAAATGGTTTGGAAAACCAAGCGAACTTCTTCGGTGCACGCTTCGAACAGGTGTGTAGCTCATTCCGTTACATTCCAGCGTTCAAACGTTACAAAGCAAGAATTGAAAAACAAAAAAAATAGAGCGCAAATCAACAAAAAATGATACATACAATAAGCCTTTTGCCTTAGCAGAACTACAGGCGTCACTAAGCTGCTGTAACGAAACCACTTCATGCTCCAACCATATTGATACAAAACAGGCGCTAAACACGGCTGCAAGAAAGAGGAAGACGAAGTGGGTTTTTCCGTTGGATGCTGGTCTCGCACATACGATCGGGTACGACGTCGGTTTTTTTGGCCTGGACTTGCCCGCTCGGTTCGACGCTATGTCGCCGCTTGTGAGCCCTGTCAGCGTCGCAAAACGCCGTCTGCCCTCCCAGCCGGCTACCTCCAGCCGATCGACGTTCTCAACGAGCCTTTCTTTCGAGTGGTCTCGACCTGTTGGGCCCTTTCCCACTCTCACAGCCGGAAATAATGGATTGCTGTTGCCACGGACTTACGCGACGCGGTACGCAATCACACGAGCACTCCCGACCAGCTGCGCTACCGACGTTGCGGGACTTTCTGCTGTACGACATATATTAGTGCACGGTGCTCCCCGTCAACTTCTCACCGACCGTGGCCGCACGTTCTTATCAGCTGTCGTTCATGAAATCCTGAAGTCTTGCCATACCAAGCACAAATTTACTACTTCGTACATATCCCATTCAAATGGCCTCACGGAGCGCCTTAACAGGACCCTAACCGATATGCTTGCCAAATACGTTGCGCCAGACCACCATGATTGGGACATTCATTTGCCGTTATGTGACGTTCGCCTACAACTCATCTCGTCACACACTGCCGGATATTCACCCTTCTATCTACTATATGGCCGGGGACCCAACTCTACCTTTAGACACGTCACTACCTGCGGCCACCTGAATATGCTGGTGAAGCCATTGCCCGCGCCGACCACGCGCGCCAAGTCGCCCGTAACCGTTCTACAGCTTCACAGGCGCGCCAACAACAGCTCTAAAATTCTCACCATAGGGACGTGCACTTTTCTCCGGGTTCTCTCGTGCTCCTCTGGTCACCTACTCGGCGTGTGGGACTGTCGGAAAAACTGTTGTCACCCTACACTGACCATTCCGTATCGTTCGCCAAGTGGACAGACGTCACGTACGAGATTGTTCCAACCCGATTCGACAAAGTCATCATAAGCTCCGCGCGACACCGTTCACGTGTCTCGGCTAAAGCCCTATACCCCCCTTCGACATCATCTGCGAAATTTAGCACCGGGACGGTGCTTCTACCGCCGGGGGTTATTGATACAAAACAGGCGCTAAACACGGCTGCAAGAAAGAGGAGGACGAAGTGGGTTTTTCTGACGCCATCTTGCTCGTCGGGTTCTCTGCGCTGTAATAGCTCATTAAACAAGTTACTCGTAACATTATAGTCTACGAATGTTGAAAGTCTGCCCCAAGAAATCGAAAAAAAAAACCATCTGTGCTTATATAACGCCGTTTGTTTTTTTCGATAAGATCCTTCTCAGCTGGGAAACAAGCCACCATTCTTCCGATCCTTAACCCGCCTTTTATACTTTTCCAGATCAGGATTGCATGCACAGATTACATAACACAGGACACAACAGGGCTTCCCGTCATAAACATAGTCGTAGCATTACACCTATATTGCACGCACTAACATTTACAAGTATTCATTTTTCCCGAGAACTGCCTCTGATTTGGAATGCTCTGCCCCATGATTCCCCTATGCTCGACACGCGGAGATGAAACTATACCCTTTCTTGTCGCTTAAGTCTGCTTCTTTGCCTGTATTTGTCCCTTGTTTTTCACGAAT